CAGGCGTAGCTGGGACTAGCCAAGACCACCACCACCACGCCCAGCTAATTTTTGTTATTTTTTAAGTAGAAGACAGGGTTTCACCGGTTAGCCAGGAGTTCTCATCTCCTGCTTCGTGATCCACCTGCCCCCAGCCTCCCAAAGTGCCAGGGATTAACAGGGCCGTGAGCCATGCATTCTGGCCGACACCCGAGAAAAATGTCTTATATTTGAATAGAGATGGGTTTCAGTATGTTGGTCAGCTGGATGTGGTCTCCATTTCTTTTTTTTTTTTCTTTGAGACGGAGTCTTGCTCTCCCCGCACCTCACGCAGGGCTGGAGTACAGTAGTGTGATCTCGCTCAACTTGCAAGCTCCGCCTCTCGGGTTCCCACGCCATCTCGCTCGCCTCATGTCTCCCCGAGTAGCTGGACTACAGGCGCAACTGCACCCATGCCCGGCTAAATTTTTTTGTATTTGTAGTAGAGACGGTTTCCCGAAGTGTTACCAGGATGGTTTCCATCTCCTACTCGTGATCTGTGCCCGCTCCTCCCGCCTCCCAAAGTGCTGGATTACAGCGATGAGCCACCGTGCCCGCTAATTGTTATTTTAGTAGAGACAGGGTTTTCACCCTGTGGCCAGGCTGATCTCCGAAGCTCCTGACTCAAGGTGATTCACCTACCTCAGCTCTCCAAAAGGTGCGCGGAATTATGGGGTGGACCACCACGCCCAGCTGTGTCTCAATCTTATTTAGTTTATTTATTTATTATGAGATACGGAGTCTTGCTCTGTCCCCAGGCTGGAGTGCAGTGGTTCGCGCACTTGGCATCACTGCCAACCTCCGCCTCCCCCTGGGTTCAAGTGATTCTTCCGCCTCAGCCTCTGAGTACGCGGTGGGATTACAAGCGCCTGCACCGACACTCAGTCTACAGATTTTGTATATTTGGAATAGAGATGGGGGGGTGGTTATAATGTTGGCAGCTGGTGGTCCATTCTTCTGGTATGATTGTTTGTTTTTGAGGACCGTGGTCTCGCTGTGTTGGGCCAGGTTGGAGTGGCAGTCGCACCATCTAGCCTCACTGGCAAAGGCCTCCGCCTTGCGCGTTCAGCGCCATTCTCCTGGACTTCAGCCTTCCCGAAGTAGCTGGTGCAGTCTTACAGGTGCCCACACCACCCCCGCGACCAGCTAATTGTTTGTGTTTTTAGATAAAGAGACGGGGTTTTCACCAACCGTGTGTGCCAGGGCTGTTCTCCTCAACTCCTGACCTCGGGTGATCCACCCCCTTTGGCCTCTTAATAGTGCTTGGATTTACAGCGTGAGTCCACAGAGCCTGCCACCGCCCCAGTTTAATTCTCTCCAAAGCCTCGTTCTCCAAAACTGTGCGATGGGGATATAACACTTTACTTCAGAGATTGCTATCTCCGAATAAAAGGAGCTGGCATGTCATATACAAGCGTAACCTTAACACGCATGTGATAGAGCTTACTGACTAGGCTTTAGCCTCAAGCCAGCAGCCTCCCGCTCTCCTACCCCGTCGGCGCCCACCTGCTCCCTGTAAACGAAGAGAGCGCGCAGGCGCCCAAGGCGAGCGCCCATGTGTCGGCGCGCGGTCGACCCCCGCCGGGAGGGAGGAACCTCAGGCGCGGCATTGCCGCTGCTTCTGTACCCGTCGATTCATGCATGTAATTCCAACACTTTGGGAGGCCAACGTGGGAAGATCACTTAAGACCAGAAGTTCAGGACCAGGTTGGGCAACATAGCATGACCCCATCTCTACAAAAAATTAAAGACATTAGCCAGGCATGGTGGCTTGCATCTATAGTCTCAGCTACTTGGGAGGCTGAGGCAGGAGGATCGCTTGAGCCCAGGAGGTTGAGGCTACAGTGAGGCATGTTTGTGCCACTGTACTCCAGCCTGGGTGAAAGACTGCTGGGACGAGCCCTTGGTGAGGAGTCAGAAGTTGGAGCTGAGTTCTGTCTCTGCCACTTTTCTTGCTGGGTGCTGGTCCCTCCCCCCCATCTCTCCCAGCCTCAGATGTATCATTTCTAGAATGAAGACATTCCTCGGGGGAATGGCCTGTGGCCTGGGGTGGACGAGGAATGTGAAACCTCATGTAGGGGGCTTAGTCCACTTCTGGCTGTGAATGGCAAATGGGAGCCCGCCCTTCTGTACTCACCCGCACCGTTCCCCAGGAGGGCTGGAGACAGAGGATGACTACAGCTACCGGGGCCACATGCAGGCCTGCAACTTCTCAGCAGAGAAGGCCAAGGTCTACATCAATGACTCCGTGGAGCTGAGCCAGAATGAGCAGAGTGAGTGAGGGGCGGGGTGAGGTGAGGCAAGGTGGGGCCAGGGCCTGGGTACCCACTGATGCCACCCTTTCCCATCTCAGAGCTGGCAGCCTGGCTGGCCAAGAGAGGCCCAATCTCCGTGGCCATCAATGCCTTTGGCATGCAGGTGAGGCCCTAGCCCCACTGCCCCTGTCCCATCTCTTGTTGACCTCCCCGACCTCATCTTGGAGTTGATCCCCTACTCCTTCTCCACTTTCAGTTTTACCGCCATGGGATCTCCCGCCCTCTCCGGCCCCTCTGCAGCCCTTGGCTCATCGACCATGCGGTGTTGCTTGTGGGCTATGGCAACCGTGAGTTCCGCTGCCTATCCTGCATCCAGCCAGGCCACAGGCAGGGGTGGGACCACACCATCTCAAGTCCTCTAGAGGGGAAATAGGGGGAATGCCTAGGAACCCTGTCCTTACCCGCTGCCTGGGCCATGGCCACGCGGGCATCATCTGTCCTGTCTGTGGAAGGGAAGCTGAGCTGTGGGAGGGTAAATATTGATGACCTGCAAGAGACGGGTGGGTGAGTGCTTCCTCCCTGCCCCAGGGCTTCTCCCTGAGGCTGGTAGGTGGGCCCCTTGCTTTCTGTTCTTTTCCTAGTCCTTGTCATACAGTAGGCCCAGTGCAAGTATTTGAAGGTGCAAAGTGATTAAGGCTCTGCCTGGAGAATTAAGGGCCCTGATCCTTGTGCTCTGCACTGCACCCCAGGCTCTGACATTCCCTTCTGGGCCATCAAGAACAGCTGGGGCACTGACTGGGGTGAGAAGGTGAGTCTTGCCGGCTTGGCCTCTGGCCCCCCAGCTGCCATCCTACCCTGGTGCCCTCACCAGCTCCCCCTCTCCCCCAGGGCTACTACTACTTGCATCGCGGGTCTGGGGCCTGTGGTGTGAACACCATGGCCAGCTCGGCGGTGGTGGACTGAGGAGGGGCCCCCAGCTCAGGACCTGGTGCTGATCAGAGTGGCCGCTGCTGCAGCCTGACGTGTCCAGGCCCCTCCCCAGGAGGTACAGCTGGCAGAGGGACAGGCACTGGGTACCTCAGGGTGAGCAGAGGGCACTGGGCTGGGGCACAGCCCCTGCTTCCCTGCACCCCACTCCCACCCTGAAGTTCTGCACCTGCACCTTTGTTGAATTGTGGTAGCTTAGGAGGATCTTGGGGTGAAGGGTGGTATCTTGGCAGTTGAAGCTGGGGCAAGAACTCTGGGCTCGGGTAATGAGCAGGAAGAAAATGTTCTGATCTTAAGCCCAGCTCTGTCCTGCCTCCGCTTTCCTCTGTTTGATACTATAAATTTTCTGGTTCCCTTGGATTTAGGGATAGTGTCCCCCTCCACGTCCAGGAAACTTGTAACCAACCTTTTCTAACAGCAATAAAGATGTGTCCTGGTCCCTAGTGTGGTATGAATGCTCAGTCCCCAGGGGTGAGGAGGGAGGGCAGGACTTTTGGTGGGTCAAGGTAGGATAGCTGGTCCTGCCCAGGAGCCTGAGGGCCCAGCTTCTGCTTCAGGAACCAAAAGGAGATGGGGAGAGACCCACAGAGGGATCTTTATTCAGAAGCACTTGGCTGACTGTTCTCTCAGGCCCTTGCTCTGAGGGACGGATGGGATCAGCCACAGGGTGCACCCTCTCTCCATCTTGCATAGAGAACCTCAGTGGTTGGGGTCAGAGGTCGCTCTCCCCATAGAGGGCACTGGAGAAGGCCACGTAGTCCAGGGCTCCAGCTGGGGCCCCGGATCCCTTGTAGGGCACCATACGGCGGATGCAGTACTCGGCCTGCTCGGCGGGGAGCTCGCGTCGCAGCTCCTCGGGGGTGATGTAGTTCTGGGGAGAAGAGGCGTTGAGGACCCACAGGTCCTATGCCCTGCCCCAGCCCCCCAGCCCCTCCACCACCTGGGACTCACCTTGTCTCCTGCCAGGATCTTGAAGGAGGCCACAACTTGCTCAGCCGTGTCAGTCTCGGCTGTCTCTCGGGTCATGAAGTCTATGAAGGCCTGGAAGGTCACCACCCCAGCTGCGTTGGGGTCCACCATGGTCATGATGCGAGCAAACTCCACTTCCCCCTGCAGAGATAGGGGCCAGGCACTATGCCCATGAGCACTAAAGCCAGGAGGGGTCCGGATGTCCCCTCCTGGCTACTGTCCAGCCTTGGCTAGCAGAGCCCCAGTAACAAGGGTGTTCCCTTCCTCCAGAGACCTTAGTCTTGGCTATAGGACGTCCTTTATGGTAGGCTGAAATCTGCATCCTACCTATAGCAGGAAGCAGATTTGCTCCCTGGTCCTGATTTTTTTTCCAGGGCCATACCTGTTTCTGTAGTGCTGTTTCCCTACAGGTAAAAATGTTGCAAGCTCAGACTTTGGGTCCACACAGAACTGGGTCCAAGTGAGTTTACCTCCCTGAGCCTTGCTAGCCCCTGTGTGGATGTGATGAAGATGCAGGGGATGGTGTATGCGAAGATGGGAGGCGCACAGTAGGTGATCAGCACAGAGGAGGGGGTACTTTGGGACTCCTGGGAAGGGGCTGGGGGGCACTCACCAGGTCATAGCCCATGGAGATGAGGCAAGCTCGGAAGTCATCAGGCTCCATCATCCCATTCCTCTTCTGTAGGGGGTGTGTGGATATCAGGCTTGGTCTCCAGCCTCCACCAGCCCCCAAGTGTCTTACCCCACAGGGCCAGGCCCCTGCTGACCCGGTCAAAGTGGTTGAAGGATGCTCGGAACTCGTTGAGCTGCTCCTGGCTCAGCCCCTTGGCATCTCGGGTCAGTACCTGGTTCTCCACTTCATTGATGGTGCGGGCGATAGAGGTGAGCAGCTGCTCCCAGCCCACGCGGATGTGCTGGCAGTCGGGGACAGGCCACCGTCAGTGGGCGGCCAGTGCCTGGCCACTGGCTCTAGCTCCACATCCAGTCCACTGACCCTGGGCAAGTCCTCCCCCTCACTGGGCCTCCATCCCCATCTGGAGGCTCCACTGAGTAACCCCCAGCAGTCCTTCCTATCTTTTGATAACCAGCTATGGCCAATCCTGGCCTGGGTTTGGACTGCTTTGTGACTCTGGAAGGGTCACTTTCCATCGCTGGGTCTTAAGGGACCTGGCCAGGCTGAACTGGGGACCCTGCTGGGACATGCATGCTCTGTCCAGCTGTGGTCTCCCTGGGCCTCCTCAGCCAGCGCTGCCTCCCTTCTCTCCTGAGAGTTTGTGATCCCACCTCCATGCTGTAGACGGTGTGCTTATTGTCGAACACCAGGCTCTCCTGCAGCAGCTGGTGGTCACCCTCTAGCCGGTCAATGTTAGTCTTGTAGTTGATAATGTTCTGCTCCTGCTGCCGTAGCCCAGCCATCTGCTCCTCCAGAGAGCCGGCTAGCCCTGCTGCCAGCCGCCCCACTTCCTGCAGGGGTTCCCAGGCAGCATGAGGGCTCCCAACTCCCTGTGGCCCAGCCCTAGCCGCACCTCCCCAGGTTGGACCCACTGTCCCAGCCCTTACCTCCACCTTCGCCTGGATCCAGGGTCCAATGGCATTGGCCTGGGCCGCAAACTGTCGCCGGAGCCTTTCATTTACCTGCTGCCGTGCCAGCTCCTCCTGCAGTGTCTGATCACGGCTAGGCACCAGCTTTCGGACCTGAGAGGAGGGCGGTTATGCCAGAGCCAGCTCTGGGGGCTGGGAAATGGCTTTAGGGGAAATGGGCTCCAGCCCCTCAAACCTCAGCCCCTGTTGCTTTGAGCCAACTTGTCTGGGATATGCAAGAAAGCTCCTGGGCAAGTCACTAACCCTTGTGGGCTTCAGTTTTGTCATCTGCAAAATGGGGCTGATGGCATCATTTATAACTAATATGGGTGGATTTATAAAAGATGTCCACACACAAGGCTTAATTCTACTTCACATCAATCCTGACAGGAGAATGCTGCTGTTACGGCTCATCATATACAGATGAGCCCAAGACAGACAAGGTGATTTATCCAGTCCCACGTGGAGTCTGGCAGACCCTAGATCTGAAGATGGACTTTATTCTCCATATCTTGGGCCACCTGAAGTTTCAGGGGGGTCAGAGTATGCAGGAGTGGGTGGGAGGAAGGCTGCAGGTGGCACTGACCATATCCCACTTGGTGTTGATGTCCTGCGGGCTCAGGGTGATGTAGGGATTGGTGGAGAAGGGCCGCAGCCCATACGTCTGGCAGATCTTCTGGATCTCACCCTGGATGCCCATGATGGCGCCTCGCTCTCGGTCAGCCTCGGGCAACGTTGCCTTGAACTGATCATGCGCTGTCAGCAGGCTCTGGGGGTGACAGGCAGGAAGCGTCAACTGGTGTCCCCCACTTACCATAGGCAACAGAAAGGGCAGCAGTGTGCCCTGGGCCACCCAGCGGTCCTGAGAAGTCCTGACGCAAGAACCCCGGCCTCCTGTCTTCCAGCCCAGCACTCGGGAACTGGGGTTTTCCTCCCATCCCTTTGCCCTAGGAGCCTAAAGTTGTGGCTGGCAGAATTTGGGGCCAGCTTCCCTGTCATCCCATCCATCCCCTGCAACCCTGGCACCCACCTGGGTCTCCTCCACAGAGTGTACCAGCCACACGTCCTGCAGGTCCTCCACGGCACCGTCCAGCCAGTTGTTGAAGGGTGCGGCCCGCCGGGCGAACTCCAGTTGAAGCTGGTCGATGGTCTCCAGGAGCTTCTCCATCCGCTAGGGGTGGGGGGCATAGTGGGTCAGCAGCATGCCCAGCAGACCTGGCCTCACCCACCTACCCACCCCCAGCTGCCCGGCCCCCAGCCCCACCTCTAGCGCATCCCGCCTCTTCTGGGTCAGGGTGCCCAGGTTGTCCCACTGATCGCAGATGGCCTGGCAGCGGCTGTTCACTGAGGCTGCCTCATGGTAGTCCAGCTCACTGGGAGCGAGAAGTAGGGCGAGTTGGGGCCAGCCCCAGCCCAGATGTCCTAACTGCACTTCACCCGCGCCCCGGGTGGGGGTGAAGGTGTGCGGGAGCCAGGGCAGGTGGTGGGTAAAGCTGGGTGCTTTCCAAGAGGGGGCGGTCCCCGCGCATCCCTCTGTGTAGGTGGGCGCCCGCGCGTCCTTAGCTGCAGTCCATGGAGGTGCTTGGGTGGAGGGGCGGGTTCATGGGAGGGGGTGGCCAGCCCAAAGCTGATGGGGAGGGTTTGGGGCAGTAAGCCGGGTGAAGAGAGCGGACAGGTTAGAGGGCAGGCCACGAGTGGGACAGGTCAAGCCCTAGTGGGAAGAGTGGTGGCAGCAGAGCGGGGTCCGGAGATGGGGGTGGGGTTCCAGGAGGGGGCGGAGCGAATGGGACCCGGGTACCATGGCGGCGCGGTTACAGAAGAACTCGGATGAGCCTGGGGTCTTGAGGAGGGAAATGGGGATCAGGGCGGGGCTCGCCGCCGGGGGCAGGGCCAGGGGTGTTGGGAGCGGGCCCCGCGAGGCCCCGCCTACTTGAGCTCCTGGGCCAACGCAGCAATGTGCTCCACACGGTCCTGGTGGGCCGCCAGGTCGCTCTCAAAGGCCTCGTGGCGCCGCAGCAACGCCCGCACCTCCTGTAGCGAAGCCGAATCGTAGTCGCGCTGGCTCAGCATCTCCTCCTTCCCTGCTCGAAGAGAGGCCGGCTCCGGTCACCCAGTGGCGGCAGGGGCAGGGGTGCGGGCCGGGCTCTGTGACCACGAAGCCTCATCTGCTAAAGTGGCGATCACACCGGCCTAGCCCCTACTAGGGGTTTGCTCTGCGGCGTCGGTGTAATAACATAGATGAAACTCCTCTTCCGTGGTGTGATCCGTAAACTATATCAGCGTCCCCTGAGCGAGCTACGACCAAGGGGCCTTTGGTACAGTTTTGGCATAATTTGACCTTAAAATAGCTCTCAACGATTCTGTAACCCCCATGAGCCCCTGAACCGGCCTCCTTTGTTCATCACTAAAATCCTCGACAGAACACCGAATGGATGTTTCTATCCAGAGTAATATATTTGACTCGTGCAATATTTTAGCGTCAGGATACTTTGAGTATGACATAAGTGATGTTAGGGTGAGGAATGGACTCACCTTTGTACACCTGATACATATAAAATAAAATGCTAACTGATGAATTAATCAGAGCAGAAGACCAGAGCAGGGCTGGGGGGTGAGGGGGAAGGCTGAGTTTATAGATAAACACCCGGGTGTGCCGTGGCTCATGCCTGTAATCCCAGCACTTTGGGAGGCTGAAGTGGGTGGATCGCTTGAGCCCAGGAGTTTGAGATCAGCCTGGGCAACAAAGTGAGCACCCATCTATACAAAAAATACAAAAAGTTAGCCTGGCGTGGTGGCGCACACCTGTGGTCCCAGCTCCTTGGGAGGCTGAAGCAGGAGGATCACTTGATCCCAGGAGGCAGAGATTGTAGTGAGCCGAGATTTTACTAGCCTGG